TACCAGAAGCTAAATTTTCCGCTTGCATAGCTTCTAAGGTCACTGAGGCACGCCAGCCTCACTGCCAAGTCAGGCTGCGAGATCGGGAGGGGTTGAACGAATTCATTATTCTTGTCTGAAGTTCTTTTAGAATCTGTGAGGTTTCTGAAGCAGGATGGACTCCTTCAATCTTTTATTACGGTGTAGCAAAAAACAGGCGACCTATTTGCATAATATTGCCCGTAATCCGATTGTTCTCGTTATTATTGCACTATGAAAGCATTTTGATGCTCATCCACTACTCTCTCCACTACCCTCTCTCTGCCTCCACAGATGGATAAATAGTTTGACCATCGGGTTGTGACATCATGTTTTGGGACGACCGAAGAGACAGTTTTGGTACAACAGAACCCAGGTAAGAATTCTTGACGTCCACCGTTTCTGTCTTAGATGAGTCATATTTATGATCCATTTTAGCGTCGTAAATTTCAGAGTTCATGTCCGTGTATCCAGTCGGTTGTCGATTTGTGGCCTCAGAACATGATCCCGGAAATCTTGAAAGGAGATCTTGCACATTCTTCACTCCACTGCCCGCTGATTAATTTTGTAGTGATGTTCAACTGCTGATGATATGTGCCATTGCTGTGTGCTTGTATTTATCGTCATCCTGGAGATTTCAATGTCACCGATTTCAGAAACGTTGATTTTCAATTAGATAAAATATTCTACCTATTTTGGTATCCCTAGCCATGAATAAATTCAGGAAACTTTCTGGTCTTAATATTCTTCGCCAGCCCCACGTCTTTGAGAATTTCAAGATTTTATTTCAAATCTGTTTTTGAGCGGCTTTCTTTTCACCAAGCCGGTCTTTGAGCTTTTCGGCAAATCAGTTTATCAAATCGATGATGGTACGTTCTGACGCGCTCGTCATCACTCCCTACTTTCCGCGCGTTCCTTACAAACTGCAGAGAAACTTCAGTGGCGAACGAAACGGGTAGATTGAAATTACTTGACTTTGCAGGTGGCCAGAATTTCCGGGACTTAAGTTTTTCTTAGTGGTGATCGTACGGATCGCACTTGGCACGTGAGATGGGTTTACGAACACGTCATGTTACAGAACCAGAATTGCTAAATTTGATACTTTCTGTTCTTCAAGTAGTGAGGTTGATGTTCTAGAAGTGTCCGACGAAAAGATCGCTGAAATTGAGCGCGAAGTGCTGGCTAACTTTAACGAATTCGAACTTGTCGAACACCAGAACGATTCGGTAGAAGAAACCGACTGGGACCGCGTAATCACCGAAGTGCTTGTCGATAGGCCGTCACCGGCATTGTCTGAAGACAAGGACGACGTTGCGGTGGCTGACTAAATTCTGTGCTTGTTTGCTGTTTGTTTCATTTTAATCTTTTACTATTCACGGTTTTGAATGTTTTCGTTTTTCTCTTCACATGCTATTATTTTTTTATATAAAGCCTTAGATGCATGGCAAACGTGGTTGCTTCTGCGCTAACTCCTTTCTTTTGCGGTTTTAGGGATTCATTTGTTTGCATGTAGCTGGTTGTTTTGCACCCATTCCTACATCCCGCGATTTGCGAACGTTACGTTTCACGAAAACTGTTAATAAGGCGAAAATTCGTAAATTAAAAATGAAATTTGCACCAATTTTGATACTAAATAGCAAATCACTC